ACATTCCAAAAAAAAAAAAACAAAAATTCCTTTCAATTATTACGCTCTCGAATAATATAATACGCGTTGCATTCGCGCGGCAAAAGAAAGAAAGCAAAAAAAAAGAAGCTTAAAAACTCGTCCCTCGTCAACTTAAAGAAAAAAAGAAGAGAAAATCCCTTTCCCGCATTCTCACAATATCTTTAACCTTATTTTCGCGTTTCCCAAGTTTCTCCGTTTCAACACGGTTTCATGCATAAACGCACGGTCCATTTAAATTATTCAGGGAAATGAAAGGCAGCATTAATCCGCGGCTGGAGAACCGCGAAAGATGCGCGCATTTAAGGCGGGCGGGGTAGGGGGAGGAGCCGGTTGTACTCGTGTTTAACCTGGAAATCGGCTTAATGTCTTTACACCGCATCCCCCTTACGCGCCACACCCATTCGTTATCGTTTTCAACTTCCTTCCTTCCTACTCCCTCCTTTTCGCATACTTTGCGTCTACCCTGCGTATAATTTAAACTCTCGACGACGACGATGACGATCCCTCCCTGCCTCCGGGGTATATACACCATCCTGCGTGTATCTCTTCAACGACGAGCTGATTACACAAACTTTTGCCGCGATGTTCATATCAGTATGTAAATACGCGCGGAGAGAGAGAGGGAGAGAGGGAGAGGGAGGGAGGGAAGAGAAGCGTTCCAGTTATCAGCACGAAACCGTACAACTGAGATCGTTACCACGGGCCCTTCGGTCCTTTCAGTCCCATCCTCTACACACCTCGCAATCTACACACATACGGCCGTTCAGTTTGCCAATTGCATGCATACATTACGCCACGTATACACCGTCTCTCTCTCTCTCTCTCTCTCGCTCTTTCTCTCTCTCTGTCTGTCTCTGTCTCTGTGCAGAGTGAATTTTACACGAGAGCTAAATTACAGTCCGCGGTTGCGCACCCGCTCGATCATGCTATCCCAGGATACGCTCTTTGTTTCCTGGGGAGGGGGTATGATGCGTTATACCGGCGCGAATATCTATCATTTAAATCAGTTGAGGGGTAATGAATGATGGTACGTGCGCACGTTGCTTACTACGTACGTGGAACGAAGGGAGAAAGAGATAGTTTCCGGATCGGAAGATGCGCGTATTTTAGGCGAGACCTTTATCGAGGAAGGTTTAACTACCCGCTTTCTAAGGATCGAGGAGCGAGATATGAGGGTGATACTATTTTTCCTCTGCTTTCTTTTTCTTTTTTCTTTTTCTTTTTTCTTTTTTCTTTTTTAGAGAGATCTGGTAGGCGTAAAGGAAGGCGATTTTATTTTATTGAGCGTTTTAGAATTTAGACAGATTTGAATGTATATTTAATGATGATGATTGCTTTGATCACGGGTAAATTCGACAGGCGCTTTTATTGAGCGTTTTAGAATTTAAAAAGTGTCGACAGATTTGAATGTGTATTTAATGATGATGATTGCTTTGATCACGGGTAAATTCGACGAAAGGGATTAAATTTTGAAGGGATTAAATGATTCGTGTAACGTATATACGAAGTGTTTCGCGAAAGGGATTAATAAACGCGTCGACGAGCGCGTATATCCCTATGGAAATTATTGTTACAAATGGAAAGACGAAGAAGACAGAGAATGGTCTGGTGAAAATTCATTCGAAAACAAATATCGTCTTTTATCGTCTTCAAACGCGAAAATACTCGAAACAAATTATGCCTTCTTTTATCCCTTTCGAATAAAAAAAATTCTCTCGTGGGAACAAATAGACATTTCGACGTTCTGATTCGCGGAACGAAGGGCACGAAATTAAACGCGGGAAAGAAAAATCTTTTATCTTTTAATTTTCAGTAGACGAAATCTCTCTCTTTCGAGAGAGAGAGAGAGAAAGGGAGAGGACAGGGAATCGCGACCTGGTTGAAAAAGCAGGGGAGGGGGGAAGGGAACGAGAACGAAAATGTTTCGAGAATCGTCACGTCGAGGAGGCGTCTAGACCCGCATTGTTGAAGTTTATTACGCGATAGCGGGCGATAATAATCGGGGATGGGGAGGCGCAGGAAAGGCGGCGCGGAGGCGAGAAATAATGACGCGGCGTGTTCAAAAGTTGGGCAGAGTTGGCCGAATGGACAGGTTGTTTGAATTGTTAAGTGTGGGGTAAACACGGGAATGAATTGAAACGCGGAATGTTTCGGGGGTGGAAGGGAGGATTGCAACGATGATGCAAAATGCTGATAAACAAGCGATATTTCGGATATATCCCCTTCCATCCTATTTCCTCCTCCCTCGCCTCGTTTGAGTTATCGAATATTGTCCTACGATTGCTACGTGTACGCGGAAAAACTCGGGCACCAATTCGACAGATCTGCTCGTTTGTTAGAAATTCAGGGCGTAAAAATGGTGATTGGATGTTATTGAAAATGGGATAATTGATATTGGTGTTTCGTCCTTTAATTTTTGATTCGCCATTCGTAATGTTTTTATTCGATTGCTAATGAAATTTAAAAAAAAAAAAAAAAAAAAGAAAGAAAAATCGAATGCGAGAAATAAAATGTTAATAGAGTTTCTATTACAATAATTTCGACGGAAAATAATCGCAGCGATTAGTTTAAAAATATTTAAAAGTTTATAATCTCGATTAAATCAACAAAATTTAAATTTGCTTGCTTGTAATAAAATTTAAAAAAAAAAGAAAAAAGAAGAAGAAATGGAAATCGAATGCGAAATGTTAAAAGAATTTAAAATAATAATTTTGATGGAAAATAATCAAAATTTGCTTGCTTGTAATAAAATTTAAAAAAAAAAAGAAAAAAGAAGAAGAAATGGAAATCGAATGCGAAATGTTAAAAAAATTTAAAATAATAATTTTGATGGAAAATAATCAAAATTTGCTTGCTTGTGATAAAATTTTAAAAAAAAAAAAAAAGAAGAAGAAAAAATAGAAATCGAATGAAATGTTAAAAAAGTTTCTATTATAATAATTTCTATTATAATAAGTTTCTATTGTAATAATTTATTTAATGAAAAACAATTGCAGCGATTAGTTAGAAATGTACATAATTATTTAAAAGTTTATAATCTCGATTAAATAAACGAAATTCAAATTTGTTTGCTTGTAATAAAATTTTAAAAAAGAAGAAAAAGAAGAAGAAAAAATGGAAATCAAATGAAATGTTAAAAAAGTTTCTATTATAATAATTTCGATGGAAAATAATTGCAGCGATTAGTTTAAAAATGTACATAATTATTTAAAAGTTTATAATCTCGATTAAATCAACGAAATTTAAATTTGCTTGCTTGTAATAAAATTTAAAAAAAAAAAAGGAAAAAGAAGAAGAAATGGAAATCGAATGCGAAATGTTAAAAGAGTTTAAAATAATAATTTTAATAGAAAATAATCGCAGCAATTAGTTTAAAAATGTACATAATTATTTAGTAATTTATTATCTCGATTAAATCAACGAAATTTAAATTTGCTTTCTTGTAGTAAAATTTATAAAAAAAAAAAAAGAAAAAAAAAGAAATAAAAATCGAGTGCGAAATGTTAAAAGAGTTTAAAATAATAATTTCGATAAAAAATAATCGCAGCGATTTATAATCTCGATTAAGTCAACGAAATTCAAATTTGTATTCTTAGTATTAAAGTTATAAGAGGTGGGGGGTCACATATCCCCACCCAAAATAGAAAGTTATATACGTATATACGTTCGTGCAAAATATTTCAACCTTCAGTATAACAGTAAACTTTCGACATTTCGGTTCGGTTACGATTCGCTTTCTAAAACTGAATTTTCTATTTTTATTTTCCGTGTCCCATTGAGATAAATTCGCGAAATAAATACATTTATTTTTACGTACAATCGTATTCGCCCAACAAAAAATGAAAACGACGATCAAACGTGCTTGAATTTCTGTAAGAGACAGTGATAAATCGATGTTGAATTTCGGTAGACATTTCTATCCGTGGACACGATGCACCACGAGTTTTCCTCAAATGGAAACTTATGAAATCTTTACAGATTTCTTCTTTGTAGGAACAGTAATTTATCGTCGATGTAACTAAACAGATGTCAAAGCAAAATTGACCCTATTCAGAAATATTTTTACAAATTACATTCGATAAACGTTGAATCTTCGAATCTCCCCAAAAATAATATTTCCCGTAAACATAATTTTTTAAAAATAATCACAGATTACTTCTTTCGTACTATAAATCAAAAAATTCTAAATATAATACATTTACACGACGGTAAATAATTTCAAGAAGTCGATCCATTTCCAAAATTTATTTTACGGATTATATTCTCGCGCGTTTTCCAAATTATTAATCCTCGTTGTCTTCATTTATTATTACAATAAATCTATATATTTATATATATATTTATATTTTATTTTATTTTATACGAATTTACTTATCGATTCGAGAAATTTGAATTGCAGAATCGCGTTATTAAAAGGGTTAATCCATGCTTAAGTATTAATCCAAAAACGATCGATTTAAATTGTTAATTCCTTTTCCCATCATTTCGAAACTCATGAATAATAAAAATGTTTCGCTATATCCGCTACATAATCCATATTTGAGAATCTTTTGTCGACGAGTTCTCGTCGTATATTTCCCCGTTTTTTCTTCCCCGTGTCGAAGATGCTTGACAAAGGTGGGCCACTTAGAGCGAAAGGTTGAAGCCTTGAATGAGGGGGAAGGGAGAGAGACTAAGGGTCGCAACCCCACCACTTGAATCCATATCGATTATACGAGGATATGAGCATTGCCCTCCTTGCGTATAACAAAGATGAAATCACGGACGAAGACCGTGCTGTATCACGGAACGCCAATTCTCTTCTATATTTTTACGATACACCGTTCTATTTTTATCGTTCCTTTCCGCGATCTCTTATTAATTAATTCGTCCTGTGAAAACGAAAAAGGTCGAGTGTTATCGACATCTTAATCCGACAAGAGAGAAAGAAACAGAGATAAGAAGGAGAGATTATTTTTTTTTTTTTATTTTTGTTACAGTACAAACACGATGAACGTCTGAAGTAACGATGTTGCAAGATTAATTGTCATCATGCGAGCGCTTCTGATCCTGCTGAGCATTCTTTTGGAAATACAATTCTACGTCACTGGTAAGTAACAATCGTAAAATTCATTGAATTAAGTATTTTTATAAAAATTAATATTATATATAATGTAATAATTAATATTACATATATATATATATATAATATTACATATATATATATTCGTAATAAAACTTGAAAAGAATTGGCTATTACTTTCGTGAAAACGCGTGCTATATCTCTCGCTATATCAATTGGACATTTATATAGCTTTGAAAGGATGGTTTCAAAGGGGGAATCCTTTCCGTATAATTTTTCTTCTATTTGGGTAATAAATCCCTTCGAATAGCTCTTACAGAGCCCCTCGCTATCGAGCATAGATTTCGTGAAAATTCTATAGTAATACGAACAGTAATAACATTATCCTGTGTCCTCACAGTGAATACCGTAGTGCATTTCCAACCAAAGTACAAAATTTGTTCCAAAATCTTTTGTCGATGCTCTTTTCTATCTAAAAAAAAACCAACTTTACATTTTTGAAAGAAAAAAAAAAAAATAACGAGTCGAATCAGAACTGTTACGTAAACTCTTCGTATACGACGATTGGTAATTCAAGTAATTTCTACGACCGAGTTAAATGCATCGGTTATAATCGGTTGTCGAAAATCGGAACGCGCGCAGAAATTTCTCTTTCGCGTTTCATTCACTCGTTTTGACGCGGAAACCATTTAATTCGTTACGATTCGATCGATAGCTGACAAGTGATATCCGATCATCGTGCGTCTCGATCAAAGTTTCACCTCGTTGGTTCGACCGTTGGCAAACTTTTCCACGTTCCCTCGATCGAGAAGAAATCTCTTCCCCCATGTGTTTCTGTGTTCTTCCCCCATCTTGAGATCATCCTTTCCCGCGATTCGTCCCCTCGCCAAGTTCCTTTCGATTAAATTTTGAGAACAATTGTTTTGGGCTCGTAATTATCGTCGAGCGGGAGGCATATTCGAGGGGGGGGGGAGGAAGACATTTAATTGGAGATTTAATTAAAGAGGCAGAGGCGAGTATTTTACGATTTCTAATTTGCCGATCTTTCGAGACTCGAAATTGAAATTAATTGAGGCACTTTGTTGGAAGGCAGGGCCTACGAAAATTTCGAATCGAAATATATCGTCTTGTAAGTTTTTTCTGTTGTATTTTGAAGGAACACGATATAACGAAAGAAGGGAATAATGAATTAATTGATCGATATATCGGGTATATATATTTTTAATTGGAGATATTTTATAATGTTTCGAGAAACGTAATCGAATATTGGACGAAATGATGGCGATGTACAAAGTTTTAAAATTGTGCGTTATTATTCTTAACATTTTATTATCGTGAATGAATCTCGGGGAACGCAATTTTTACCGCAGTACATAAATTACATTCATTTGTTGATATATTTCTATTTCTCTCCCCTTTGGAAAAGCTTTTTATAATTACACTCTTTGTTTAATAAGGTTGAAACAGATTTAAATCTGTTTTTGCACAAACTTTATCGTATTCTTTCTCCGTCAATTTTAATTTCTGCAAAAATATTTCCCGAGGCACAATTACGCCGTGGCCAACATCAGATTACGGTCGAAAGTAACCGCTTATCTTTTCCAATTAATCCAAATAGGAAAAAGCGATTGTTTTCATTTTTCTCGATCAAAAAAATTAAAATTACCGTTTAATTATCATTTCCTTCGCTCGATGCATTCGGCAACCATCGGAATGAAGGAGGTAAAAACTTGCGGAAACTTTTATATAAGACTTTGAGAAAGTCGAAGGGAAAAAAAGGAAAAAGAAAAAAAAAAAAAAGAAGGGAAAGAGGCAAATAATTTTTCACCTTACCGTAAAAAATCAATATGGACCGTATCTTCCGGGTTGGTAGATCGTTTCCTTACTGGCGAAAGGAATTTACGTAGCCGGGACGTCTATCGAACGTCATGCATTGTCCGTTCACACGTGCGGCTACGAAATAGGTTGCGCCACCCACGCGGTAATACTTTCCCGTTATCGCAACGTGGCTCATAAAAGACCGGTAAAGCCAAACGAGTGTGCGGCGCTCCTAGCCAGGGAGAGGGAGCTCGTAGATAGGGGACGAGTCGATAACAAACATTCTTCTGGAAAATATTTTACCCGCGAAAAACATTATGGCTTACGATACGAAGCGTCGATTATTCTATCGTTCTAAAACCGTAAGTAAGTGGGGCTGCTTTGTCACGGTCGTGGTGGTAAATTAAGGAAAATATCTAAGCGGATACCTCTTCCGATAGCAAGAGTAAAAGGTGGAGCAAACCCATATAAAGATAGAAAACAAGTGCAAGAGAATTTATGTTAGATTAACTTTTGAAAAAAAATAACTAAAATTGTTCACAATTTCGACCGATAAAATAGTCAAAGTTGAAAATCGATACTCGAGCAAAAATTAAATTTTCAAGTAATTTTTTCGCGCACGCAAATTTGCCCCCTTCCTTCGAAAAGATCAATTCGTAACACGATCACTTCCTTGGCCCGATAATCTCTAACAATTTTTCTAACAATTATCGACGAGAATAAGTGAAATTTCCATATGACGTTCGTGCACACGGGAAATTCACTCGTAGTTCGAGTGATAAGATTTGAATTCGGCATACGCGATCGCTTATCCTTATAATATAACGAGCATCTATTTAGCCCGAGTGCTCGAGCATCGTGTACACGATGAAAACGTCGGCAATTAGCTCTCGTTACCTTGCTCGGGGCTCGTTCGACGGTTCGTTAAACCTGACCTGTTTCCCCCCCCCCCGAGTCCACGAATCGTCCTGCACGAGTCCCCCAAAGAGATCCCTCGAGATCTCGTCATAGTGGCAGCCATGAAATCGCATGCGAGGCGAGGAAATGGCGCGCGTCCACGCGATCCTAGATCGGCACGCCGATTTTCTTACGGGGGCTTCGTTACGGAGTGGCCTCTCTCTCCCTCCCCCTCTCTTTCTCTACTCCTTTCTTCCGACGATTCGCCCTAGATTTGAACGGAGCGTGCACGAGCGGTAAGTCCACGCGATTTACCGCGTTTTTATTATCGCCGTCACTCGCGTCGCGTCGTGCAATTTTGTTTAATTTCGTTGAAGCGCCGTGGGTAGTTAAAAGGTTACAACGCGTTAACGTCGTTTCATTAAGTTGATGTGTCGCTTTCACGAGTGAAACATTTATCATGCTCGCGGTGGTTGTTTCTTCGAGACGTGATGATTATATTAAATTAATCTTTTCAGAGGCGTAAATAGTTTTGTTTTTGTTTTTTTTTTTTTTAATATTAAGATTATTTTTAAGGAAAATTATGGAATAAATATAAGAAAAATCAAAGCGTGGATAGTGTTTTATTTTAGTTGGCAATCATTTTTTTGAAAGTATTGTAACTTTGATGTGTTATAACGTTTTTTTAATTAAGATTCATTATTACAAATTTATTTCTTTATAGAAATATACGAATCTTCAAGAATTCCTTAATCATTGATTAAAAATTGTCCAACGAGAAGAAGAATTTAATAGAATAGAATTTTAATCTTTTTGGAAGCTTTAAGTTTTGTTTTTCTTTATATTAAAATTATTTTAAACAAAACTATGGAATCTCGTAAGAATAAATACAAAGGAATCGAAGCGTAGATAGTATTTTATTTTGTAACATTGATGTCTTATAGTATCTTTTAATTAAGATCGATTATTACAAATTTATTTCTTTATACAAATATACGAAGAAACTTATGAAAACAACAATTTGGAAACGAAACGAATCTTCGAGAATCCCTTAATCAATGGTTAAAAATTGTCCAACGAGAAGAAGAATCTAATAGAATAGAATTTTTATCTTTTTGGAAGCTTTAAGTTTTGTTTTTCTTTATATTAAAATTATTTTAAACTATGGAATCTCGTAAGAATAAATATAAAGGAATCGAAGCGTAGATAGTATTTTATTTTGTAACATTGATGTCTTATAGTATCTTTTAATTAAGATCGATTATTACAAATTTATTTCTTTATACAAATATACGAAGAAACTTATGAAAACAACAATTTGGAAACGAAACGAATCTTCAAGAATTTAATCATTGATTAAAAATTGTCCAACGAGAGGAAGGATCTAATAGAATAGAATTTTTTAAGAAATCACTTGCCATTGCAGGAACGAAAGAAGAATTGATCATCCCAGTTATGCCAAATGAACAAGAATTCAAACGTCTGGAATATTTATGAAAATTGTAGCGAAGAATACGTGACTCTCGAGTTTCTCGTGAGAATAGCAAAAAGATAGATAGATAGAGAGAGAGAGAGAAAGAGAGTGGAGCGTGCCAGTTATGTAAATGTAAACGCAATTAAAGAGTAGGAAGAAGCCGCGTAGGACAATTAAGTGTTTTCGAAGTGAATTCCAACGAAAACCGTAGGCAGATTTGTAATAGCTTTCCTGCTGCGAAGCAATGCTTCGTAATTGTCGTGACTAAGTTATTCAGTTAAGCCACTTACGCTGCACCGGGGTTATGCGTTATCGTAGCAACGGCGGCTGCATTAATCTCGAAGCGAGAGAGAGAGAGAGAGAGAGAGAGAGAGAGATAAACAGAGAATTCCTCTCGTCCCTAGCACGCCATTGTGCCCCTTCTCGCGAACGAAGAAGCGCGAAAACCGTCCCTAATCTCCGATGCTATCTCTCCTTAGGCCTTTGAGCTTTTAAGCTCTCGCAACTTCGATGTTACGATTTTACACCGTTCGGCTTTTCCGCGAAAATTAATCTGGGTTAATAGAAATTCTCCCTCCCTCCCTCCCTTTTTATTTACCTTGGCCGAATTGCGAATCCTCTTCAGAGGATTGGATTGGAATAAATATGGATTTTAAAATTATATTCGAGATTATTCGTATTTATTTTATATCCGTCTAAATATCCCATATGATTGTGATTGTAGTAATAGAAAAGAAAGATAATCATATGTTTTCGTTAGAAGAAATACTTACGATATTTGTGTCTTCTGATAGAAGACCAATTGTAAGTTTCTATATCGTTAAAAGGATTTCTTATCTGAATAGCTTATGATACGAAAAGGGAAGGAAAATTACGCTTTTCTCTGTTCGTCTGTTTCGCGCAACAATGGGGAAAATTTAATGGTTGAAGTTACTTCGAATAAAGTTACTTCGATAATTTATTATTACGTTCAAAACGTAATAATAATCGGAAATAATTGTAACGTCAAATGATGGAGATTATAAGCGGATCAACTATAATAGTTACGAATAAATGTTATATTTCGAGCATTTCGATAAGTGATTACTTAAAGTGACCCTACTCGAAAATTACATTACTTTTTCAACAGGGTTTAATACCCAATCTCTATTTGGCATTGGATAACATTAACGCAGATAAGATCTCTTCTCTTCGAAACGTAAGATATTTGTAGAAAATTAGGATGTTATAATAAAATACACTTTCGAGAAAGTGTAGAAGAAGACGAGACATCTCTTCTGTTGGCAATCTGGTTTGAACCGTTCGGATGTGTGTATATTAAGAATTAGGTTAAGTTTTTTCCCCCCTCCAGCTTCTTCTCGTTCCAAAGAAGCTGGTCAATAATATTTTAACCGACACAATTCCAATTCTTTTTCCAGGGAGCCAGGCGGAGCGTCAACAATCGTCGAGCGCCAACAACGAGGTGACGGAGAGCTCCGCCGGAGAGGATAAGGGCGAAGATGTCATCGAAGGCCCCATCAGGGAAGTTCTTGCACAAAGCGGAAGCACCGCGAATTTGCCGTGCAAAATTACCGAACCAGGCGCTGGAACCGTAAATGTCGTTACGTAATACAAGTTAGCTCGAAGGCGATTGACCCAGAAAAGTATTTCCAAGATACGCCCCTCGCCCTGCCGTCATGTAGATTCATGCAGAGTCGAAATTAGTTTCATACCGATACACGACACACCGCCACGGGGCGGAGGACTGCTTAACATCCGCCAGATACTTACCTTTACCTTCAACAACGCGCTCCTCAACCGATTCATTGCTTTTCGCTCTCGTCTCCTCAATTTCGCCTAAAATATTTTCTTTCCACGTTGTTGTTGTTGTTGTTGTTGTTGTTGTTGTTGTTGTTGTGCAAGCATATAATAATCTTGCTCTCGTAATGGAATACGTAATGAAATCTTCGTTGGTAATATTTATAATAAACGCGAGGAACTGGTTAGTTTTCAACAGAATTTCTCGATCTTTTTAAACTTGTTACTTTCGAATCAGTGGAAAAAATTATTCGACAGTGGACAAATTTCGAGGTTGGAGGAAATACCTTTCGAAAAATTTCGAAGATCAGGAGTGAGCCCTCTGGTATCGTTCTCGAGGGGAGAGCACGTCCAGGAAGTGGACACTGGTCCCGACATTTTCCAAAGCGATTGATTGATAAGCTGTTTTCTTCGGCAATGGTCAATCAACGAGCTTTTGGAAAAACACGAGGAAAGCTTTTCATCCTCGAGAAGAGATCAGACATGGTTCATCAAAAGCGATTCACCAAAAATCAACCAACGGGATTACTCGCGGACAAGTGTCTACCTTTCGATCATTGCCTTCAATTTACCACCACGACTTCCACGATCCACGCTGGACAGAAGGAAAGAAAGAGAGAGAAAGAGAGAGGAAAGGAATACATCGAGGAGAATAGCATTCTTCCGTATATTATATTTTTTAATTCGAACAAACTCCGATCTCGAGACTTTTAATCGAATACATTTTACGTCTCGCTGCTTTCCCCTCCAGCCATCTTCCTCCACCACTTTCTTTCACTTTATATTGGCGTTCCATTAAATATCTTCTTTTCCATCGTATTCACGGCCGTTCAATTTTCATTTCCCGAGCACCCGAGTTGAGTGATATTCATTTAATTTCCGTTCGCCAGACGGCATACACAAAGTAAATCGAGGGAAAAAGAGGGATTCATGACTGAATAATACCACGAACCACTGAGTTTTAAAAGCCCAAGATATCGTTTTTCTTATACGCATACACGTCCCTCTCTGTCTTTCGAAGAATCGTCAAGAATCGAACGTGATTCTTTTATAATCCGATTCTTTTATAATCTCGAAAGCGTTTAATTGGGGAGTTTTTTTTTTAGAGAGGATAGAACGGGTGTTTTTTTTTTTTTCTATTTCCAAAGTAAACCGTTAAGTTGATAAGACGAGGAAGGAATGGAATAAATATCAAATATTAAAAAAGAGGGGGGGGGGGAGAGGAAAAGAAGAAAGATAAACTTTTCGTCTAATGTTGTCCAATGGATTACAGGGAATGGAACAGGGCCGGCCGGAATCGTCCCTAAGCTGATTTTGCGCCAAGTTTCCAATCTATTTTCAAACTTGCTTCTTTTGTGCCGTGAATTTAATTTCTTTGCAAGCTTTGCGCTGTAATCGAATCACGGTTAAACAGGCGAAGAATCCTCGGTTGTATTTCTAATTGATTCGAAGAAAAGTCCGTGACTTGTTTAATCGATTTCTGTTCGATTATACTATATATATATATATATTTCATTAGTAACGGAATTTAGACGCAATTCAGAGAATGGGAGAGACATTCCACGTAAAAGAAATTTTTAAGAGAGGTTATTGGCCATAAAAGAAAGCTAAAAGCTCCAACTTTTTTTTTTGAATAAAATAAAATCCTCGGGTATAATAAAATTCCACGCGCTTATGCAAAAAGTACTTTTATCAACTGACTCTCGGGAGAAGAAGATTAATAAGTATAGTTGGAACAGAAATTTATCCATTTATATTACTTTATATAAAAGCAAAAGATTTTTCGACCATTTTCCAATCATTTATTCCCGCAAAATGATTTCCACGGATCGGCAGATTTTTCAACGCCAATAATTCAACTAGTTAATACCGTTAAATTTAATTATTTCGGCACGACTGAAATTCGCAGAAACGTCGCGGCAATTCGTGCTGGAAAACATTATTGCCACCTCGATAACAAATAGCTCGGCCACAGCTCCCGCTAATTTTCTTTCCACCTCCCTGAACTTTTAGACAAATTGCTCGTCCTTCCCTTTCTGCCCACCGCGATTCATTCTCTCCCCCTTATATTTCTCCTCCCCCTTCCTTCGTTGCACGTGAAATTCTTTAAATCGATACGAAACACGTCAAGTATGAGGAAATTCTGATCATATATTCTATATTCTATATTCCCAACTCTACACTCCTCTCTTCCTTTCCAATTATATCCCGTTGCTTTCAACTCCAATCTCAGTAATCTGCATTTTACACAAAGTATTCATATGTATATTCATATGCGTGCCTTTGAAGATATTCCAGATCGATTCTGAAAGGAAAAAGCAAGAAAAAATTGGTTAATAATAGAATTATCATAATCAAAATAAATTTCAATTGCTTGTAACATAATGGTCAAGTAATCAACCCTTACGTTCGATAAATTTTTTAGAATCGATTGGACAAGGATTTTTTTTTAAAAATTTCTATCGATCACCGTCCTTTCACATTTCGATTCTCGGCGAAGGTGCGCGTGGAATCTCGTACGTCAGCCAAGATTAGGCGACCCCCTCGATTGATTCACATATTTTGAATCTCATATTTTCCCCTGCCAGCCACGTTCCTCTCCTTCTTCTTATTTCCTCGCGTTTCTTTTCTTCCCCTTCTTCTTTTTTTTCCCCCTTCGATCGCGTTTCCCTCGCCTTCCTTCGAACTCCTGGAGCAGGGAATATTTCAGAATATTTTACGAGGCTCCGCCGTTAAACCGATACCGTAGCAGGTGCTCCGTTCAAGTTTTCCAGAGGAAGAGGAGAGAGAGAGAGAGAAAGAGAGAGAAAAGAGGAAAAGGAAAAAAGAGAGGGGAAGAAGGAAGGAGAGGAAAAAAGAAAAGGGGCGACAGGAAAAGGGGAATGACAGAAAATCTAGGTTGTGTACACGAAGTCTCGTGTGGAGAAGTCCCCCTCGATACTTTCGCGGCGACGAAAGCCAGATGTCGAAATCGAATTCCACTCGACATCGTGGAAACGAACGATTTTCTTATAGGACAGATCAGATCGAACGGATTTTCGGCCGAGTTTTTTTCCACCAGAGTACGAATATGTCCATGCAAGGGAAGATGTGGTCCAAGGTTTTCTCTAAAAACGACGTGGAACCATTTTATGAATAGCGAGAGAGGGAATGAAGAAAGAATATCGATGCGTGGTTGGCGATTCTTTTATTGAAAAGTTATATAGGGAAAACAAATAGCGAAGAAGAAGAAGAAATTTTGATTTTGTCCAGAACAATCTTTCTCTTTAATTCGCGAAGAATTAGATTTATTCGATTAATTTATAATATAAAGATCGTTATTATTATTATTATTATACAACTTTTAGAATTAAATTTTCAACACGTAATTCTCCCTTATTCGATATTAATTCTTTGTAGAAATATTTTCAATACGATCGAATAACGATCGAAAAAATGTTAGGATCTGATAGAAACTTTTTAAACTGCATCAGGTGTCCAAATGCTTGTAGCATATCTGGGAGGAAACGCTTGATAAGATTTTATAGAGAGAAAGAAATATAGGAGGAGAAATCTTTTTACCAGAGAAAAGGACCGATTCCTTGATCATATATATATATATATTTCTATTTCGGTCAATTATATTTTCTTCCCTAGCTTTCAGTATTGAGCAAAAAATACCTCTCTTCCGTTTCCGCAAATAAGATTCGTTTTGTTTAAATTCAAACTCGCGACAATTATGCAATTAAAATAAAATGGGATAAAAGTTGTTCGATACACGGTTTCCAATTCACTCGTCTGACCATATACTGGCTTGTTCCACTGCGTGACTTCTATTTACGCTCTATATATGTTTACTTTGCTCGGCTAACTTTAGCTTTTTAATACGTAAATAAATAAGCTCGTATCGATGTAGTTTAGAGCATCATACTATTTACGATGAAAAATATCGTTTTGTTCGTTTAGAGATATCGATAAAAAGTTGTTTAATAATAATACTACTAGAATTTTGAATTATATATACATATATCCCTATATTTTTTTCAATATTCTCTCCTCTCGTTCTATTCCAATTTTCATCCTCACCAGCTATGATTTTACAAGTTATAACAGTTTTAACGACTGTACAAATAAATTTCGAAACCGAAGATTTCCTCATAAATGCGTAACGATATTTCAAACTCTATAAATTTCGAAACAGAGTGAAAATGGCTCCATCAAGTGATGAATATTGTATTAAAAAAAAAAAAAAAAAAAAAAAAAAAAAAAAAAAAAAAAAAAAAAAGGAAAATTGGGGCAAAATGGCCTCTTCAACAATGAAACGAATATAACCGTCACATTTTCCCGTTCGATCGCGTCTACCTTGTTATCTATTCCGTTATGCGAGCGTGCACTCTGATCGTGGAAAGTAAGAAGATAAGTGGCAATGCCTATTCACGCTTACGCGAGACACACTCTGGCCGACGTCAGGGAGCAAATAACGTCGTCGCCGGGGTCGATCCTGCATCGACCTGTGAGCCATGAATAAAAGATAATTCATCTATGTCGCGTGAAAAAAAAAGAAACGCAGAAACAAAGAGGGTGCGTTGGGTTTATACGTAGAGAAGCTTGGTTATCGAATCGAGAGCGAACGAAGGGAGGGCAAGTGAAAGAAATGGAAAGGAGATCAGTGATGGTGGAAAGGAGATACGAGAGCGCGTTTCGAGGAATATCAATTTCGAAAAAACTCTTCTCCTCGAGTGTGCGTATATCTCCTTGTGTGTATAGCAATCAGAAAAACATCTACTCGAAGAAATTGAGAGCTAGGATACAAAG